TTTACCGATTAGATCCATTCAATTCTGACACAGTCACATTTGGAACCTGTTTTGAAGTAAGTCGGAATAAAATGATATTTGGGTCTATGTTATTGACAATTTGTATCTTCTGGGACGAAGATGGTTAAATTTGGTTTCTCTGTTATTCGTGAACTTATACATATTGTTAAATTATTTTGTACGAAATGTCATGCATGGTCAAATATACATATCTTTCTCCCATTTCCATCTACTTGTTTGTGACAGTTTGATCCAGTAACATAATATTAACTCGGTATAAAATAATCCCAGGATCTACCGTTTGATAAGCGCTCTGCAGATACTTTGATTTAGCAGAAGTATAAGTTCGATTGGACTCTAGATGCGGAATTTGAGTGTGTTCTATTGTCTTTAGGCCTATGATTTCATGACGTCACATAATCCCAGTCTATCAGTGAGATAAACATCACTTCGTCAGTAAGATGTATTGCTTGGATCTACGTAGTTATCTGTTATTCTGTAACCGAGAATTCAGTCTTTGCAACAGCTCAGTCAAAGCATTTAACATATACAAGTGCTCGTGAAATAACAGGCACATTGTCTAGCGTTTTACCGACTATGACATACAACTTACGAGAAAAAGTTCCCAGTTACTTAATGAACCCTTACACACCAGTCTTGGATTTATTTCCTCAATTTATTGATACAAAATTACGTAAATCCAGGTCGAGGAATTCGTAACGAAAACATTTTGCAACATTTGTTAAGCCATGACACGTGTTTCCAGAAAATAGCGCTTTATCGTCCGGTTACAGTCTGTGAGACTTAACTACAAATATCCTGTCACTTAAAGTACTGTTGTAAGCCGAGTGCGCAAATTTGCATTTGATGAGTGATTAACATTAAACCATAGGTATTCGCCTAATATACTTTAGGTTACGCATGTCCAACTACTACGGTGCGCAATGACAATTAGTGTTGAAACTTAAAACAAAGTGAGAAGACTCTTAGTAGCAGTTAAACTGTTGAGGGTCACAAACTGTCAACGTGGAAACGTTTAATCAAGGTGTAATGGCTCGGTCATGTCGGCGTGCTCACTTTACACAGCCTCTTGAATCTTATATCAAATACATCATTGTTTTTCCACCTTCATTGTGTTCTGCAGTGACTGTTGACAGAAACGCTACTGATGATCACGACAGAACGTTTCTGTGTAAACAATGATATGACTTCCATGTCTGAATGCGGCAAATGATCCAGCAGAACAGGGTTTATTCAACCGTACCAGAATACTTTAATTCTCCGTACAATCCACAAATCTTTCAGTTACCAGTGTTCAGCAACAATATCAAAACACAGATTTTCTGTGCAATTTATATGGTTATAAGAAGATACATTCCATCCTAAAGTACGATATCTTAACAATGACGCTCAAATTATATGGCAAAAACTTTGTCTTACAAAATAACGCGCTATACGGCAAATAATTTGTTAATGATTACAACTGTGAAGTACCCATGAACCAGGAAGATGATTCCCAACGAGATAGGATCAAGATTTCTGACTGAAAGAATCAAGTCAACCAATGAATTTTTCCAGCGGACAATTAAAAATTAATAATAACCGACTGTCCTGTGGGGTGATCTTGAATACAGTTTGGTAAGGCCTGATTATCAACGGTCTGACACCATACAACAACAAAGTGATATAGGGAAGAAAAGTCTCAACTAGAGTCGATTAACAAAAGTTTAGTTAGAAGTGACTGAAAGCTATGAGGATATGGTTAGACAATGACATCAAGTTCATCATGGAACAAGAGTTAAACAACAAGCTATCATTCTTAGGTATTTTAATCACCAGAACCAACACAGTAAAACTGGAGACTCAAGTGCGCAGGAAGCCGACCCACACTGATCAAATTATCAACTACAATAGCAACAATCCAAGAACTCACAAAATCAACTGTGTACAAACTTTGTTCAAGAGGGCGAGAACACACTGCAACACAATTACATAACGAAAAAATGAAGAAAAATACCTGAAAACCATCCTTCAAAAGAACGGCTATCCAATCAATTTCATCAGAAAAATACCAGTCGCACCCATCATCAGAAACGAAATCAAGCACGGAAATCAACAAGAGGATCACCCTACCATACATAAAAGGTGTATCAGAAACGACAACGAGGCTGTTAAAATTCTTCGGGATAGGTGTTGCCCACAAACTAACAAAATCCCTCCATTCAATATTATGCAAATCAAAGGATGAAATGACAAAAGAAGACAAACCAAACATCATCTACAAAATAAATTGTGCCAACTGCGACAAACGCTACATCGGACAAAGCGGACGACCCTTTTATCTTCGCCTGCACGAACATCAATTAGCAGTCAAACGCCACGACATGTCTTCACTCATATCAATACACGTGGACAACTACGGACACATTCGACTGGAAAAATGTGGAGATTTTGGACAGGCAATTCTAAAAACACCAGAGAATTTTTAGAGGCTTGGCACTCAGGTCAATCAGCAATAAACAAGCGCATTAAAATCAATCCAATTTATCAAGAACATATGTTCCAGCCAACATAGTTCGGTTGGGCCATCACAATAAGCAAGTCCGACCGCCACATCAAGGTAGCAGCTACGGTCGAAATGAGGAGCGAAAATATGCAAAAGACCTTGGAAGTACAACGAGGAAAGCTGAAAAAGAAGGGAATTTGAGGAAACTATGTGATACAACCAAGAATCTTACAGAGAAATATCAAAAACTACTTCCACCATTCAGGAACAAACAAGGAAGTTTAATCATGGACGCTCAAAAGCAAAGGACCAAGTGGACATAGCACTGTGAAGGAGCTCTTGGATAGACTAGCGCCGCTTAGCTTACCGAAAATCGAAACAACATACGCCCCTTAGGTTATAGCCCACGTACAATGGAAATCAGCAGAACCATCAGAAAAATCAAGAATAGCATTACAATAGAACTTAAAAGCATAACAGCTAAGGCACTGAAAACGAATACGGCGGTAACCGGACAGGTTTTCCACGTTCCATTTAAAGAAATTTCGGAAGAATAACACGTATCAGCAGACTGGAAAAAGGGATACATTATCAAGATGCAGAAAAATAAATCATATGAAGTATTAAAACTACAGTTGAGTCATGCTACTTGAATAAAGAACGAAAGATCATAACCGAATAACGTAAATTCACTTGTTTCCTGAATGCTCCTCAACTGCTTACAACCAAAAAAAATAATCATTCGAACGAAATAATTGTATATAATTTGTATCAGAAGCCTATTGAATCGAGTTTAACGTGTGAATACAAAATGACAAGAGACAGTAGCTGTCGAAGAATTAAAATTGTTCGAATGTTTGATTATTTTTTAGTTAAGTACAGGAATATCTTAGAGAAAAGAATCTTTCCTCGAAATCGAGAATATATGCCACAGATGACGTAATACTTTTAAAAATACAGACTAACCCAGTAAAACTCAGAAGTGGAAAATAAAATAATAGAAATTATGACTAAGGTCATCCGAAATATTTTACGTAATAATTTTGCGGAAACAAGGTCATCAGGGCCTAAATGGGAATTGATAAGTGAACCTTTGTGGATACATAAATTCGTTTTAAATCTTCTGATCACAACGGCTCCATCAAAGCGAAATAAATATATAGTTTACTGATTATTTTGAGAGGTTTTGAAATACCAGAATCATGTTCACTCTCGAGCGAATGGCGAGCCATGGCAATCTCGAAAACTTTGTTTAGTTGTACTTTTATGGGATGTGTTCAGAGATGCAGACACTAATCCTTCTTTCTGTTCCCCCGATGTATAAGCCTTGTAACTGGTAAACAAAATTCAAGTTGAAAAAAGGCGGTAAGTTGTCTATATTTGACTATTGCAATAAGCATTTCGTTTAATATAGAGAGATCATCTTGACTGCTGGACATGACCTTTCTAGTATTCCCTTTATTCTAAAAGCAATCCTATCTATTTTTTGCCTTTGAAGCTGAGTCTTAGGAGACAGGATTTTTCTCAAACATAGTATGTTCCATTTTATTCGTTATAGTATTCTGCCATTTAGTGATGAGTTTCTATGGATAACCATTATCACGTAAACAATGTCTAACTATGACTAATTCCTCAAAATATAGTATCCGTACACGGTTAAATAACTTTTTAACCAAAGCTTTTTTGTAGCTTAATGGACAGAAGCTACTAAGGTATAAGTTTAACCAACTATGTGTCCTTTCGATAAGTATATCTTTCCAGTTGATGATTTAATTCTGCTTAATGCTAATATCTATAAAATAAAACATGCCATAGCCTAATTCTATTGTAAGTCTAATGTCAGGGTGTGCTATGTTTAAAAGCTCCAATATATAAGAAGCATATTGATAACCATTGTATCCAACAAGTATATCGTCAACATACTTGACATAAATTATCGTATCAGTGATGGCTGATTTGATCACCGCTTGTTCTCAGTTTATCACGAAAATATTTGACAGAGGACGTCCCACGGATACTGTCAATTTGATAAAATGATATATTGTTAAATATAAATCGAACGTCTTTAGTGCTAATCAGTAGAAGTTGGTCAAGTTCGTCCTTCTGCAAGGGATTTCCTAGCATGTCGGCACATTTTCTAGTTTCTTCTAGTGGAATTGCGGTAAATAATGATATATCAAATGTAACTATCAATTGTAGATGACTGGCTATCATGAAAATTGATAACAGTTATATTTTAAATTCGAGCCAAATTTTTATTAGATTACATGTTCAGTGAATGTGATTGAATAATGATAAATTATGTCGCAAAATAATACACATGGATGTGTAAAGATAGTTTATTCTGTAATTATGAACTCAATAGTGTTCTATGTTTTTTGCACACGATTGTATCACACTTACTCAATTCTTTATTTCTTATTTTACTATTAGGATCACACATCGTTGGTTCTGATTCACTGGAGTTAAATAGTCATGCTAGTTGTCGCTACCTATGAGTTTTTTTGGTAATCTCTTAAAACAGAAAGTTCTGCCTAGTGGCTCAGGGATCAGCTTGAGGACAAAATTTCGTAAGTGGATAATTGCTGTCAAACGTACCTCACCAAAAACGTCCTCTAAATTATATAATAGCTTAAATCAATCCATGTTCACGCTCGGTAGTTACTAATTCCATTGAATGAAGGGATCTAATTAACGATAATAGTTAGTACGAATTACAATATCATCCACAAAATCATATATCCTGTGCCAAATACTAAAATTTAATACCAACTGTAAATCGCAGTCAATGGTTGGCAAAACCATGAGCTACCTATAACGATATAGGAATGATTCAATTAAAGGTGGTCTAGAAGTATACAATACAAACTGACCGGTAGATTGTCACATGAGTTCTTAAGTAGTTTGGATTTTTCTGTGGGCGATGTAGTGTACACAGTGGGTATCCAGGAGTACAGCCTCCCCAATCCAGAGCTATATTTGAAGCGATACTCATATACAAATAAAAAGCAAAGAAATTAAAATTATTAGGTCGAAATGCGATGAACGGTACTCTCAAGACTGCTTATAAGTGTTATGTAGCGGAACGTTGCGTGGAAGTTGCTACAGTCGACAGCCGAAGAAAAGAGTCCCAGGAGGTCAATTAGCCTGGCTTATTCAGAATACTTTGCAGACCAGAAGAGAAGCGAAATAAGAGTCTAGAACCAACTTCAATAGCAGAACACAACAAGATGCAAATGGATAACTGAAGACTAGGTGTACATATTACGTAAACATCCTGTAATCTCACGAAATAAATATTCTTTCCGCCGATTCCATTTGGTCTTACAGTACCACAAATAACTCACGGAATCCGATTTTATCTTCACTCTATACGATTTGTGTACAAATAGTCTTCAGTGTCGGCGAGTTATTCGCATTTTATTATTGTGTTCATTACGTCTGATTTTCTTTTTATATTGTGACGTTGCAATATAGTTAAAACACCCGTTTCAATGTCTGCATATATATTCATACTTTGTACTGCTACAATTAGTTTCTATTACTATGAATATTACGGTGCACATTTAATCTATACACTACATAGTAATTAGGTTGTTGGTAAGTTTATCTGCAAAACTTTGGCTTTTTTACTTCGCTAGATACTTATTTCAAACAACTAGCAGGAGATTATATTTCATCTGGTCGTGACACTCTACAACTTATTCGTCAAAATCCAGTACGATCTATTCTCTGGACTTCAGTTGTCTTCACTATATCATACATTACCAGCACTTGTCCCAATAAACAGAGTTATTATGCTTCTCTCGTTGAATCTGCTATTGATTTGTGGGAAGTTCCAGATCTTATACGCAATTCTAAAAGTGCCAGCTACATTCATAGATGTCTTAAATTATTCTCTAAAGAACAGATTAGGTATAATAACCTTGGATTATTTGCAATTATCTGGCGTGATGATCGAACTCAGTCGTGTTATCAGTATGCAGAAATATGCAAGTACACCTATCCTGCGAATGGTGGAGGGAATTTTACAGGTCTCCTTCGTTTATTCTTGTTCGATCGTCCTCAAGAAAATGGTCTGGAACGCATACAGAATATTGTTCAGGACCGCATTTTGGATTTTGGATTCATGGGAAAATGGTGGTACATGTCACACTACATGGATAACTATGACATCAATCCTGATGAATGGGAAACTCCAAAAATCTTCGAGAAGTTCACCAGGAAAGAGTCCAACTAATAACAGTTTTAAGAGCAGCACGAAACCAAGTCAGCCTACTTGCTCGTCATCTCATTTCAAACCATTTGAAGATCGAAATTGCAGCGAGCAAAATCTTGAATTATATTTGAATAGTCCTAATAACGTGAGTGATGACTGGGAAGTAATAAATGAAGAAGTTTTGTACGTAGACTGTCAAGGTCTGCTAGAAGATGATATCTTAACCCCATCTAGTGTCATTCGCCTTGTGGATATGGAGTCAAATAAACCTCTTATGCAGGTAAATTGACAATTCAGTGTTTTTTTTAAAGCTATTGAGTCTTCTAGATGTCCTTTACAAAGCGAGCACTGCCTTTGTCAGAATGTTTTTTGAAGCGAACACGTAAAAATCGTGCATCTACTAAGTTCGTGATCGTTCATAATCAACCTATACTGATACCCATTGTTTCTAAGACACCAATATAGTTAAGTGCGTCATATGAGGAGTTTCATTACAACAATGTTGGTAAGCGTTGTGCTTTAGTTGGATACAAATGCTAACTTTGTGTTTTACAACTTACACCACTCGTGGCACAAAATATGTCAATCATAAACGGATATATAACATACAAGCGCACTCTATTCGGCTACACAGTTTTGACAAATGCCTAATGGAAGTAAATAGAAGCTATGCGTATTTCAGGACCTTTTTTTGAAGTTTTGTCAAGTACACTTAGTCATCGTGAAACTAGTATTTTAAGTTAACTTCTGAAACTACTTAGTGACATGGTTTTCATAACTAGGACGTGAAATTGTAGCTTATTGGATAAACTACTTGTGTCCCAGCGAGTAAAAACCTCGTTTCACATCCGTTTAAAAAACTGGGTAGTATTACTAGCCATCTTACAGAATGGTCCAAAACTGAGCTCATTAACCAAAACAAGAGCGATCAATAAAGTTATAATCTCTTCTCCGTTGTTCTTGGCTAACATAAACTTTTTCATCATGGCTCTACACTTATATATATATTAGTGTAGAGCCATGATGAAAAATTAATTGAAAAGAAATTTCTTCGCTCTATTCGTTTCCTTTTCATTTATCAAATGTCAGAATGGGAATTTTCACTTTATTAACATAAACTTCTTCATTTTTAATTGGTTGTTATGTGTAAAACAAAACCGCTTGTGCATGATTAGCGATTAAAAGTTGGAATGTCAATCAAAATTAGATGAATTTTCCTTCACACAATCAAGTGTAACAACCTCACTATTCAAATTCAGTGCATCGGCATTATGGATGCCTACAGATTATTCTGATATGGGCTGCTGATTACAAAATTTATACTAACGTGGCTGAATGCCACGTTTCCTGCTGTAGTAATTATAGTAGGAAGAAAGCTAGGAAGTCATTTGCATACTGAAATGGTAATGGTGTGATTCGTTTATCAGGTACAGGTAGTTGTATGTACTTTGCTGTAAAATCCATTGTTACGTAATGGATAGTGATACTTGCCTACTAGTTTAAGCGTGATGGGTTTGCCCAATAAGCCATCACTCATTTCGTATTTGGTTCACATAAATCCAAGGATTTCTCAAGAAGTTTTACAACTGTTTAGTACAGAACTGTCAATCTTGACAATTATGTGGTCGGTTGACAGGGTTTATGATTTCTGCTTTCCTTTCTAACAATTCATTTAAGGTTTTTCTCAATATTAAGTTACCAAACCAACTTAGAGTAACATTTTGACAAATTCTTGATATACTTTTTAGCATTAAGTATATACATTTTGATGATCAATAGTTGTCCCACTTATATTAATTTCCTTCAAGGTTGGACCAGCGGTCTTTGAAGGACATTACGAAGATACAGTTGGGACATACTTATTCTTTGACAATAACTCTACTCTGAATAACACTCTTCCTATAGAAGGCGCTTCTGTAGCACCACTGCGCAAAATGGACGACCAAACACCACAGCACACCACAAGATATGTCGCTAAATCTTCCAAATCCCTTACATTCCAGCGCATTTTCCTAAAAGCAAAAGAAGGAAATCATTAGCTACTCCTGTTGCGATTGTTGAGTTTATGTGGTATTGCAATGTAATTTGTAGTATGATGTTTTGTACATGTTAAGACAAATATATTTTCAAATGAGCACTCAAAGCCTTTTTAACAAAAGTCATTCAGCGACATTTTCACACTTACACCTCCTCGAGTAGCACAGCCACCCACCAGCACTCTCAGTTCGAACCCGTACTGGTCAATCCTTTCCAGTTACCATTCTTCCTTTTTATGTCTGCTTATAATTCGAGTCGTGTATTCTTCGGCTTCTCCATTTTCCGCTTCCCCTCACGACTCCAGGTTGGGGCTTGCCTTGTGCTGCAGATTCGTGATTTCCGTGATGTATGTCTTATCCACCTCGAACAACTTATCCCAAGTTTTTTCTTCACGTCAATTCCGATAAGAAAGGACTCGAACGGCAAGAAATGACAGCAGAGAAATCTGTCGTATTCTGAAACGCCAATGTAGTATTCGTCTTGACCAAACGCATCGGAAATACTCGAAGGAATACCTTGAGAAAACGACAAGTCACTGGAAAAAGATAAACGTCATTAGCACTTACACACGCCTGTCACACCTCGTCGAAGAGCGTGGGAAGACCACCAGTGTTCTCCATCCAAATATTTACTCGGCAAGCCCTTTCATTTGCTTCCAGTAACAATTCATCCTTTTCATGTATGCTTCCAATTCGAGACGCCATGTATCATCTGGTCTCCCGCTTTTCCGTTAACACTCAGCATAAGATATGGACTGCTTCGTGATGCAGTTCGACGACTTTCGAAAAATATGTCCGATCCACCTCAGACGACTTTTCCTAATTTTTTCTTCAGATGGAAGCTGGTTCGTTCTCTACCACAGTAGGCTGTCGCTGATCGTATCTGCCCAACAAACATTGAGTAACTTGGGTAGAAAATTATTTATAAATACTTGCATTTTCATTATTGTGGTTGTAGTACTCCATGTTTTAGCTTCGTACAGCAGAACTGTCTTGACATTCGTATTGGAGATTGTGACTGTGATATTAGTTGGCGGTTATCTTGAGTTCCACATGTTCTTGAACAGCAGGAATGCTGCCTTTGCTTTGCCAACCCGTACCTTCCTGTCTGCATCAGATCCTCATTCATTGATGATGCTACCCAGATACGCGGGACCTTCCACCTCTTCCAGAGCTTCTTCACCGAGTGTGACTCTGTTGATACACGTTGTGTTGTAGTTGCGGATCTTGTGTTTTCCCTTGTGTATGTCGAGGCCTACTCATGCAGAGGCTGGTGCCACACTAGATGTCTTCATCTGCGTTTGTTGGTGTGCGTGTGCATTGACTTTCTCTGTTCTTGTTCGGCTGTTGTTAATTGCTGCTTCCTCGTTCTTCTTTTCTTGAATCCTGCCGAGGCCCAGAACCTCCTGACACGTTGGAGTTAGTGCTCTTTTGATCCCTTTCCAGTTGTCCTCCATCGTAGATCCTGTAAGGCTTCAAACCTGTTGTTGAGAGTTATCTTGAATTCGTTGAGCTTGCTAGTATCTGGAAGGAAGACTGTATTTAACCTTTGTACAGCTGTTTCCTCAGTTGTCTAGTGTTTCTTTGGCTTCAGTTTCATCTTGACCACAACCAGGTGGTGATCTGAAGCTATGTTAGCTCCTCTTCTTATTCTCACGTCTTCCATGGACTTTCTGAGTTTTTTATTGACAAAAATATGATCTATCTGGTTCTCCGTGGCGTGATCCGGTAAGATCCACGTAGCTTTGTTTATGCATTTGTGTAAGAGTATTTTGCCGCCTATAACCACTTTGTTGAATGCATATAGGTTTGCAAATGTCTCCCCATTTTTGTTTAACTTTCCCAGTCCATGTCGTTCCATGATATCGTCATATCCGGTGTTGTCCATTCTGACTTTAGCGTTTAGGTCTCCTATCACGATGGTAAGATCCTTCCATGAGCACTTCACTGTGATTGGTTTCCATAAACAACATGTACTTTGTGTTCGGACGGCTTGATCTGTTACATAAAACGCACTAGACAACGTAACTTTAGTGACTTATATCGATAAAAATAGGGCCAAGTGCATAGATTGAAACGGATGGTTCCTTTAGAGCGCCTCTCCTCGGACCTTTGATCCAGAGACTCAATCTGCCGGGAAACGTTAGGAGATGCGGTCCTATGTTGGCTAATGATCAATAGTAGATTCACACCCTATTCGCTCCCTCAGGATTCTAGAGCCCATGTGAATCATTGGTTTTCCAACTCCTAGATATGTTCTCCGTACCCACTAACCCGGTTTAACAGCTGGACATTCACTTTTCGTCTTCTCAACTTCGTAATCATCCCCGCCACAAGAAGGCGATAGCCGTAGGAGGAAGGACCCTACTCATCCTCAGTCGTACCAGGGCGTTTGGGAGCGGTTGTCCTAAATGAGACTAGAATAGAAGAAAATTAACATTTTACTTCTCTTTCCCGAAGTATGCTAATACAAAGAGACTGCTTCATAATTAGTAGTACAAATAAGTGGTCATTCACTCAGTTACCTGAAGCAGTAATCCTGTTTACCCACATCTGAGGCTGTCGTTTACTCTTTGATTACCTTTCCTTCTGAGTCAACCACAGGCGAAAAACGACTCGAATTTCCAAAACCCTGACTGCGGGAGGCCGTGACGGACATTTCCACGACACCTAGGATTTAATTAAAAAAGTCAACTCTCTAATTGGATTTTTATACTAACTAATTCCAGAACTTCGAAAAAAAACTTTGAGGTTTACATGGACCAGAACATAACTGCTGCCTAAAATCTAGGACATATTCAGACCACGCTATACAAACACTAAAGTAGTTGATAAAGATATTATGGCTACATTTTGGATTTTGTAATAAACTAAATGAGCGGCAAGAATACAAACGGCAAACTCATTTAATAAGATCCAGTGCGAATGACCCACATGATGAAATATTGTTTCTCAATGTTTTGTGGTATGGGTGATGAGAAGGGCTATATAACCCTACAAAATCGACGTCTAATTCAAACGACATTAAAAGGAGCAAATCATGAGGTCATAAACGTTTGAATCACTTCTGTACCATGCTATTCAGAATATATATTTGACAAATTGTTTCCTGAATCAACCTTTGGTAACCGAAATCAAGCACTGAGTTATGAGGAATTACATCACGTATATTTCAAAGAAAGCCTATAAGGTGAGAAATGTTTGGGAAAATCCTAACATCATTATAAATACGCATGTGTCACCTAAATTGAGCAAAAGCAAAAACCTTATCATACATGATCACAAATATAAACAATTAAGTTAGTAAGTAGGTAAGCTAGACGAACATGAAGACTGATGGGAAGTAAATAAATAAACACTAACAAACAAGAACTGATAAAGTAAGTTGGTCAAAACGATACAAACAGTTTTCACAGCTGAGTACAACATATTAAATGAGGAGTACAACAGAGGATCGAAAGCCCGTATATTGCTGTCTATCAATTGAAACACAGCAAAATGCAGCAATAAACCGTCGGATTGTTGCCGCATGAAACGAGATCACATTATTGCACATTTCACAAAATATTTTCTAAATGAGCTGCCACGTTAAGTTCCTCTTCAAATATCCAGGTAGGTGGAATAACACTGAAAAAAAAGATTGAACATGAAACAAATGGTTTGAGACTTTACGGATAAATGCAGGAGACAAAAAGACCCTTTTATCTTCGCCTGCACGAACATCAATTAGCAGTCAAACGCCACGACATGTCTTCACTCATATCAATACACGTGGACAACTACGGACACACATCCGACTGGAAAAATGTGGAGATTTTGGACAGGCAATTCCAAAAACACCAGAGAATTTTTAGAGGCTTGGCACTCAGGTCAATCAGCAATAAACAAGCGCATTGAAATCAATCCAATTTATCAACCAATCAAGAAAATTATGCAGAAACATAGGAACAAAAATCAAACCATTGGGAGAAACAACCAAACCAAAAATATAAACAATGACAGATTTAAGGTCAATAAGAACCAATCAACATCGGGGTGCACAGGACAAGCTGTGAATAACATGTGGAGAAATTCAAACACTTCACTTCTACCCGAAGTTTGTGCTGATGATGTCGTTCAGAAGGACGATGAAAGCTCCACGACCAAACCATTCAGCTCAGAGAACAAACTTACATCAAAATCACGCACCAGAGCTACGAATCTTCTCCACCATCTCAAAATTATACGATTACAATTTATTTTTCTGTGCTTTATCGATCATATTTTTTCTGTGTTTGAATACTGCTGTTTATTGACAGTTGAACTATCCTGGTTCTAAAGATAACGCAAACAACAGCTTGGTGTTTTACGCAGTGTTAAAACCATCTTCAACACTAAATGTTATGTTTCTACGAGACCCAGTAGAGTTTTTTTTACATGTTTATGGTGAAAGGGTACTTAATTTAAGTAACCTTATGATAAGAAGTATGAAAGGAGGTTTACGTATAGACCTACATTTCTCTTTAAAAGATTTAATTGCAGTAAGCCAGTGAAGTCACTCGTCAGACGTCGTTAATTGGGAATAGGTTTTCTGACAAGGCGTGCCGTGCTTGCCTTATTAGCTTATTTTCCTTTTTTTAATTTATTTCAGTTATGTGTTAGGGTTCCTAAAGGTACCTTTTAAGACTAGCATAATTTGTTCCACTCCTTTACAAAAGCTTCAGAAGCCTACTGACAAACTGTAATTATGTAGTTCACTGCTAGTCTTTTTTACCTGATTTTTTAATCGTTAACAAATTTCCTATAGTGGTTTATAAGATTCAAGAGATGTTCTCGTTTATTTTGGATTCTTAACTTAGCACCACCGAGAAATGACCAACAATATTATGATTTGTATCATTTACTAAGATTATAACCAGTAATTTTATGACATTCAACAAGCCGTCTACCTGTTTGTCTAAGAAAATTCTGAATGAATGGAAAACACCTTAGGGTCACGCAAACAGGATTGTGGTTCAGCAACGATATATCTTCGGTGACTTAATTCTCAAGCCTGTACAATTGCGTACATTGGTAAATATATAAATATTGAAGATGGCAACAATGATAAACATCCCAAAGTGTCACTCATGCTTAGAGGTTGAATCAAAAGACGAATTAAGGGTTTTATAAAACTATGTCAAATAATTAGCTGTGAAGTTGGAATGCGTAGTATGGTGAGCCAGATTTTAAAAATGAGTTATGTGCTAGATGAACATAAAAACCAGAATAAATTCGTTTAGTGTTAGCGGGATGTAGATTGGATTAAAGCGCACTCCGTGGATGATTATGTTGGGCCCCGCTGATTGGTTATTTCTTATTTGATCAGCAATAGTGCATACTTGGAGAAGACTATGAACTATAAATATACCAACTTTTCCCCTATCGTGATTCCTAGAGTGAGCGAATAAAATATGAATGGTAAGAGACAAGTAGATCTATGTGTTTACCACATGGCAATGAGTGGCAGCATTTTGTCCCACAAATGCATGTAAAACGCTTTTTTGGTTCCTCCGGACCAGACTACAGAGAAACAGGTCGATAACGTATGCATCAATAAAAAATTCAAAACCGGTAACGTAGCTTCAGATAATCATCTTGTAGTGGCCAAGCTAAAGAAGAGTCTAATACTCTCAGTATTAACTCCCAAGTTTTAAAAGATCTACTGGGAAAGAAATGAACGGAGCAAAACTTCGATATGCATGAAGGTGTTAGGGCCCAGAAACAACCAGAACAGTAAACCAATTTATATAGACTGAGCAAGATTCAGAAAGGGAAAAATAAAAAGACAGTAGTCAATGGCAACCGAACAACGGCAGAGAAAGCCAAGACAAGCTGAATGCACAGAGGCAAATAAACAACTGAGGGAGAACATTTGAAATGTCAGTCAGTCACAACGTAGAACTTCGTACGTACGTACATCAGTTCAAGTTGCCATACTACATTAGAACTGAGATGCAGTTGTCAATTCAAATCCCACATTGGTGGAGGTAGTAAGAGTATTGGCAGTAATCCGAAAGATTAGGGTTGAAGATGTTATTCAAGGAGTATAATCCAGTGAAATAAATTTGGAAAGAGAAAAAAGAAAGGGGCATGAAGAAATCGGTAGATTAGAGTTTGGGAGAACACAAAGAGTGGATGGACTTTGGCCATTACAAACGATTTTCAGCCATGTCATGGAAGATGGAAGCAGCAGTTGCACCTGGTAACTGCCGGAAGCTCTTCCAACTCATGTGTGAGTGAAACAATATGTGAAAATGACGGGGTGCCAATTACAGACATCTGTCGACGTCTTGGACGATGGATGGAATTCTTCGAAGGGTAGTTCAACTGGCCTGCTGCTCCGGCAACATCGATCAGATTGGCCTACCCCCCATAGCCTGTGACGACTGATTCATCTAATGAGGCAGAAGTTCGCAAAGAACTCCGAATCTTCAAGCGCTACAAATCACCGGGCCCAGATGACTTACCTCCGACTCTTTTTAAAGATGGTGGTGACCTTCCGGCTAAAGAATTGACTGTGATGTTTACAAAGATTTGGGAGCAAGAAAGTGTTCCAACATCATGGAATGAGTCAATAGTCGTCCCTATCTTTAAAAAGGGTTCACGTTGTTCCTGTAACAACTATCGGGGGATAAGTCTACTTCCGATTGCGTCTAAACTATTGGCTTCTGTCATTCTTCGTAGGTTGTTTAAAACCCGAAAACGATTGACTCGCGAGGAGCAGGCTGGTTTTCTTTCTGGTCGACAATGCATTGATAACATCTTCACCCTTCGCCAAATGTTAGAACACCGTCATACTTATCACAGACCAACAATCGTAGTGTTTCTTGATATCAGGGCTGTCTTCGATTCGTTGGACAGGACTGTTCTCTGGGACTGTCTATTGAAGAAGGATGTGCCTGAGAAGTTTATTAACATCTTAAAGGCCCTCTATCCAAACGCCTAAGGCAGAGTGAGGGCATACAACCACCTTTCTCCATTGTTTCACTCGAGCAGTGGGGTTAGGCAGGGTTGCCCGATCTCACCATTCGTCTTCAACTTTGCCATCGACGACATCCTGGAAACAGCCCTGATAGATGTAAGTAATGGCGGTGTGGATCTGCTGCCTGGAGAACGACTTCTCGACCTTGAGTATGCGGATGATATTGACTTGCTGTGCAATAATGCCCAAGGCATGCAATCCGCACTTAATCAGTTGGCAATCAGTGTCCGCAGGTAGGGTATGTGCTTTGCACCCTCCAAGTGCAAAGTACACCGACTTCGGTGGCTTGGACATGTTCTACGAATGTCGTCCCAGATAATTCCACGTCGTGCATTATTTGCCGACTCTGAGACTGGTTGGAAAAAGCGGAGAGGTGGTCAGTGTATGACATGGTGTCGTGGTATGAAAGGAAGCTGTAAAGGGCTGGCTTCTGTTGGTCCTTCACGACTCCCTGCCTGGGGTCCGAGAGATGGTGCAACACAGTGGCTAGAGACGTTGACAGATATGGCTCAGAATAGAAGCCAGTGGCGAGCTTGCTGTAACCTTCTTTTTACTTTCTTCATGAAGAGTGGTTCTTTCTTAACTGAGTCTTCCGGTTGTACATTTCATTCCCCCTTTTTTCATCCTTTCTCTTCGTATTTTCATTGTTTTGTGTGGCGCATATGTATCTGATACCCTTTTGTACCAGTATGTATGTATCTAAATAAATAAATGAAATGAATCTAAGCATGTGCTCCAGAATGAGCGACAGTCTTCTATCGAGCTTCTCCGTTGTTGGCTGATAGCGATGTGATCTAGTCGGGCTCAACATTGGGACGAATTCGGGGGTCGCCATGTCAAAAAATATTTTTCCTTGTGCTTTAAGTTGGTATTTGCAAGAAACAGGCGGTTATCTGAGCATAGCTCCAACAGACGGTCGCCATTATCTGTTAGTTGAGCCACGACACCATAAGATCCACCCAAGAAAGGGACATGAAGAATTCGGTAGAATAGAGTTTGGGAGAACATAAAGAGTGGATGGACTTTGGCCATTACAAACGATTTTCAGCCATGTCATTCAAGGTCTCTAACCATCGGTAGTTATCATCTCGTGGATCCCACCCTGGTAGTCTAAACCTGCCAACATGGCATATGGATAAGGTCATAGAAGTCGGTATTCTGATTAGTGGTTTTGTCACGTGATATTTTGCAGGCGGTAGGACATAACTTAAGTAATCTGATTAGTTTTATTTTATAATCCTCTTACTATGAGCTCCAGCTAAACCTGTTAACCATTGTTACACGTCTTATTACGTGTTATTTATTATCAATTATGTGCCGTTTGCTCAATACACTGTCACATATAGCCTGATTGTTTGTAAAAGTATAATTTCTTATTTGGCGCGCGATGCCGTATTATAATTCCTGTTATAAACTAATGCGTGTTTGAGTTAAAAAGACTAGATACCTGAAATACATAGAAGCTTGGCTGCTGTTTTCTATTTTATCGAACAGGAGACCGGGATGTCAAAAAATGCACACGTTCTGAACCAATGGGAGTTAAGGTTGTCCCGGCTTTAGTTTAAGATTATTCCTTTCAGTCAGAATGTATCATTGGTCAAGACGTAGGTTGTTAGTCCATAGAGAAACATTATAAGACTCTTATTGATGAATCTTCCCGAACGATGTTGACTTTCACCTTCATAAGATTTTCAACTGGTCTGTCGCTCTATCAACGTTGATTAAAGTATCCTGTCAGCAGTTTAACAAGAACGAATAGATTGAGTATTTACGCCGCCCTCATAACACTAATTAGTCGTGGGTGACTGTAAAGCTGATTTACAAAATCTCCAATCAAATAACAAAAACATGAGCTGCAAAACAGTCCAAATTGGAACTGATTTTCCTGCGTCACAACTGATATACCAGAAAAAATTTGTTAGATGTTGATTCATATTCAGTCAGTCAGTCACAACGTAGAACTTCGTACGTACGTACATCAGTTCGAGTTGCCATACCACATCAGTACAGAGATGCAGTCGTCGATTCAAATCCCAGTGGTAGAAGTAGCAAGAGTTTAAGCAGTGATTCATATTCACTACACACTAACATACCATTGGACACTTGAAGGTACATCATGTTATGGATTTAAATAAATTATTATTAAGATTTTTACATTCTTTCAAAGCTATAATAAATGAGAAATTTCAAAATAAACTCATGAAAAAAGAAGTTTACCTGTGTCCAGACCCGCTAATCCAGCGTACGAGAAATTCACACCGATGATCCAGAGAAATACGTTGACCAACAAACTGAGTCACGAACAATATAGATTGAAGTAATAATTATTTATCGGTCTTATACTATTAAGTAACTTTGTTTAAATAATTAACTTAATGTTAACTGATAAGCATACAACCTTGAACAGCATAGTTGAGTCCAGGTTTGTCAACAACACAAAAACAAATTATTTGTACAAGTGAGTCCAAGGGTATTTTGGCTTACTATTCTAAGTAACATTTAGGTTTTTTAACTGTTCTTAAACAAAAAAATTAACATTACTATCCAGTATGTGCTTACTGCCACCAAAAATACTGTAAAGTTATGAGTTGTCTCTGATGTCTATGTCATTAAATTATTTGTCATTTCCTTGGTGTGACTTCATCCACAAACTCCAATTATCCAGTCATTGGCTTATTATTGCAAGACGTCACACTTGGGAAATATTTTAAATAACCGGGCATTGTTGCATTGTTCCTTTTACTCACCCAGTTAAAAGCCAATTCAAGAAACAACCTGGGGCATCAGTTAGTCAGTTAAGGTAATACCTAATTTCAGGCTGAACCGAAACTGTAGCAAATGGCAATAAGAGGAAGAGTTTTGCTATTTACAAAAACTAGATAGCATAGTTCTGGATATTTATATTTAGTTAATGAAAATATATACCACCTGAAGTGTAAACATTCAGTTGATTATATTCAACATAGTTTGGAGTGAATATGTATCGCTCCAAATTACCATAACATATAAGCAGAATGAGATAAGGCAAACAAGATGAACAACCGTAGTAGCAACCATAATGGGAGAGGTTAGGCATTGAGAATATGGTGCTAAAAGACAACAAAAAAATGTCACAAAGAATACTGAACTCAAGATCTGGAGTCAGATAGAAAATGAATGCGCCTGAGATTTTTGACCAGTTTTCAGACATATCACTCAACTTTTTCAGCTACAGATCACTGTTATTGTTTTATTTATTTTAGAACATAAAATCTGCCCCAACGGGAGATAAAAAGTGCGCCACAAAAAGTATGGATAACTTTATGAGGAAAAAAGAACACATCTGAAGAGGACGAAATAAACTAAATGGGATAAATAATGAAAAAAAGAACATAGTGGAAGAGTTAGCTTAGTTGACAATACACACGAGCGAATTTATAATTCTTATAGTCGAAGTTATCAGAAAGGAGAAAAACTACGTCAGAATCACCAGTCACTTTTGTCCCGAGTCATGTTTGAAATCTTAGTCCACTGAGTTGCACAATCTCTCTAGGGTCCAAAACCAGGGGGTCGTAAAAGATCGATAAATCACAGTCGTATTTGGCTTTCATTCATACTACAGCACCAATTCAGAGAAACTGATCACTTCTCTACTTTTCCATCTAGTCTAAGCGTTGGCAGTAAAGATCGATAGGGAAGCCTTTGAGATTCACGTGTAATCCATTGAATCCGGTGTGACACTAAATGAACTATCGTCACTGTTACTTAAACATACATTTTTGAACTTAAGCATTACTAAGATGGATCGTTTTGCACTGGATGTCAACAGTTCATTGAAGATAACGATAACCGAACACGAAAAATAGTCTTACAACCCTAAATTATAGGTGCCAGATTTTGTAACCGTAGAAAATCACTTTTGTTGACGCTTCGTATGCCTGATCTTTAAAAGCTAGACTAACAATGACGACGATGTCAAAAAAGGCTCACATCGACGTAACCTCCATAAATACGCGCGCACTAATTTCATCTATCACTTCATTATCGTCACTCACGTATCTACCCATATACACGAATTTTCCCACTACATTCAACAGCTCACAGATAATAAACTGTGAAGGTGCAGGTTCCCCCCATTTTTGAAAAAGCACTCAAAAGGTGCAAGGTACATGTCATACTTACAAGTACTGATTCTAAACCGACTGAGTGCAATACGCATAATTTGAGTATCACCTCACAATAAGACAAAGCCATCCGCGTACATAAGATCGAGGTCTTTTTCCACGTAACAAATACACACCACTACTACTTATTACTACCACTAGAGATGCTTCCAGAATGTTATCGATGACAAAGCCGAAGAACAATAGTGACTCTGGGAAGCCTTGTCTAACCGTACTGCCTGAATGAGACAATGGGAAGTGATGATTGTATGAAATCACTCTGACTGAGCTGTCTGTGTACGTAGCCTTTAAAAGGTTGACATATTTTCCAGTCATTCTCTTTAACGGACAATCCCAGATTACAGTCCTGTCCAATAGCTGGAATGCAGGCATAACACTAAGAAACACAACAATTGTTGGTCTGGAATAAATATGGCAGTGATCTAATATTTGACGGAGAGTAAAAATGCGATAAATGTATTAACGATCTAAATGTAAACCAGTGGTTTTGCCTAGATCAACCCGTTCAGTACAATGAAACTTTTGACGACTGAAACGTAAGATAAGATTGTCGCTAACTAAACCATGATTGAAGTCCAGATAGGAACTCTAAAAGGAGCGGTAGTTGTGTACATAACTACTCCATCAGTAGCTAATCGCTATGTGGCTAGTCTGAGTCCACGTTTGAGTTGCGGATGCAGGACGTCAGGTAGTACACCATCAATGACTGCTACAGAAGTTGGTACTGGCTGGAAATGAGTTGTCGCTTGTAGGAGATGGATACCGTTATCTATCCTGCAACCAACGAGTCCCCACTTGGCAGCCAGCCGCCCAAACAACTGTGCTTTGTCCCTAGATGCCCGACCTGCGCATTTAAATCTCCGGCTTGTACTACAATATCTGTCGGGCGCGCTTTCTCCAAACCAATTAATTGATAGTGGAACTCGTCCTTTATTGGATCTAGGCTGCAATGTGTCGGGATATAGGCGAAGATAGCAAAATGACCGTTTCGCACGCCAGTCCGTTTCACTTTAATGGAGCCTTCCGATCTGACGACCCACAAATGACTTTTAATGGGGATATAATCAATTAGTGTTGTCCCTGCTATGTCACATAATACAACGTCTACGGCAGCCAAACCGGACAAAGATTTCACAAAGCCCTCGTATATGCGCAAGTGAACAAGCTTTACAAATCGAACGATGGAGAGATAATTTGTAAAGCTTCATCAAAGTCTTGAATACGGGTCTCAGAGATACAACAGATGTCGACATCAAGACTTTTCAATGACTGCCAAACGTATCTGTTGTCCTATCCTCATCAGCATAACTGTTGAAGGAGACCAGTTTGAATGAAATACTTTGTTCGAGAAAAGGCGTATCGAAAATCGCATTCTGTGGAAGCATCCATAAATTCGACTAATCTGCAACACGAGATTGTTTAAATATGACAGAACTTCCACCATGGACGAGCTGCTGAGTGCTTTGACAAATAAAGAATACACAAAATGAAAACAAATAGAAACTGAGGAGTGACAATGTAAAATAAAAGTGAGGGCGACGAAATAATTATCAATACTATTTGCTTGAATAATAAAGCGGAACGAGAAAATTTTTCAAACGGTAATTGCCATCAAGATTGTGACAGGAGATGGAGGTTTCAACAATTGTTATGAATGAAATATTAATTGACAATAGTGAATAGAAAACTTAAGGAACCAATAAAATATTTATATACTTATTGTCTTCACTTCGAAAACAGTAAGTCTTAATCCGAATACTAAGTATGATCATTATTATTCTAATCGTGTACTACAACGATTTATGATACTGATATAATTCACATTTTAAGATTCCCCAACTGCAATCGATTGTATATTAACTTACCGTATGAGGAGTCGTCAACAGCAATGATATGTGCTGATGAATATCTTTTGTATGCCTCAGCAATGATGGTAGGGTCAATTCTTTACTGACCGTGATATTTGGTGGGTTGACAGTGGGACGTGCAGGCGGATTAGTAGACTTTTCATAAAGTTTCAAAGGTAATTTGCAAAAATCCAGTGGTAAAATGCGAGACCGTTCACGATTATTTTTTGTTGTGAGCTCCTTGTTAAGAAGATAAGAAATTTTTAACTTGTTTTTAACTAGTATTTGACTTCTATAATCATAAAAATCCAAGCGACGAACTATAATACAAAGTATAAAAGGTAAAAACATGGACACATCAAATGGTTGGCGTGCAACTCACAAATAGTCAAATGCAATGAGCTGAGGCCGCAAGACCTCATAAACAAGAATATTCTTACCGTATTTATTACCTCATTCATAAAGAATGGTCAAGATGAATTTGGAAATCATTTGGAGATGTAAATTATTAGTAAGGCACATAAACAGGCGATAAATTACCAGACTGTCATACGTCGGAAAAAATACAGATTATTTTACAACTCGGATCATATGCACTCCGATATGATCCAAAACACAGCCACTAACAACTGATAAGTTGTTTTTGAAATACATTGTCTCACATCGACATTATCCGCTATCGACATTTGGATAGTGCAGAGTTGAAGTTTTCTAATGTTGAATAGTCTTAAACTGGAAAAAATTATTTAATACTTCCTAATTTTAAGTGGTTCGGTCAGTGCCAGAATTGTTAATAAATACTAGATTAAAATGAGCAACCCAAGTCCTGGACATCTTAAACGATTGAGATTCATAATATTAGTGGTTGACTGACTCATTTTATCATAAGATAACTGACAATGTTCAAAGAAAATCGTATTAATATTACAATAATACCCATCCATTTAACAAGCTTTCATGTGTAGACTAACCTCGGTAAGTTCGCGCTTTCTTACGTTTGCGTAAATTTTTCTTGGTAGACAGAGAAGATTTCTTTAATGAATTTTGTAAATTAGTTATTTCTTCTGAATGTGATTGACAAATTATGCTCTTGTCAGTTAGAGATACTTTGGGCAAGGAATCACTGCTGATACGATTTGCGCGCATATGTGTCCGTTGAACATGACGTTCTAACAACGTGGAAGTAGAAAATCGCAATGTGCACGAGTCGAAAATGCATCTAAATGGTTTCCCTTTGGCATCCGTATGATGAAGTATATGTTGTTCCAACCATGCAGCCGAAACACTAGGTCTTCCAAACACCCGACAATCCTGCCACAAACAACTAAAATATTTCCGCCGACTGGACAACTGTGGGACGACATGAATTTGTTGAATGTGATTGATTAACTGAGTCCTTTCAATGTCAACACACTCACAACCCTTCCATTTACAAACGGAGGAAATACCACTGGACCCACAGGAAGTAGATGAAACAGAAGAAGCAGAAGTATCTTGGACTGAATTGATCACAGACTGTTCTTTGAGACTGTTTTCTTCTACAGGCGATTTAGGGTCAGGTGAACGTTCATCCCTATTTAAGAAAACATGACGATGCTTGAAGTGATTTTTTCTTTCTACATTCCTGTTCCCATGACGCAGACGAAGATTTAAAGAATCAGATAACAACGACAGCTTGTTGGCCAATCTAGTGTGGGACTTGTTTGTTAGAGCACGAGTCCGGACAGACAGCGAAGGTTTCAGTTGAGTGCAAACTGTGTGTGTCATGCTTCTTGTTAAAATTAAAGGCAGTCATTGATCGTCAGCTCCATCATGATATACAATCCTAAGCACCAAAGAAAAATACACAGGGATTTGTTGACAGTGAAGATATACATAATCATTTACTTATGATGGATCTGGGGTTGCCACTTATGTGAAAGCCTATCTAGTAAAAATGATCGCTCACGATGTACAAAACTGCCACCAATAAGTAGCAAAGACACGGTTTTTCGCAATATATTCAAACTGAAACTACTAACGTAAATTGTTTCTATAGACCATGCTAGGTTTGTGGTCTTAAGTGCTGTTATGAGGGCCGTTATCACTTCTCGGTTGCTTACGCCGTGAAAGGGTTCTCCTTGAGGTACCTGAAAAGGAAATAGGGTTAAAGTTGATCTTCGTGACCTGATAGCATAACCGCAGTGCCCAAGGTACAACTGCTTGAGGTCGGTCACATGACCATTTTGTAGGTAATTTTAGTCTTAGCTCCATACTTGTTGGGACCTTACCGCCGGAGACGGATATCTGTGGGATAAGGCGAGGTGTGCACTTTTAGAGTAGACCTTTTCTAACCCCATCCCTCCTTGTGGGAAGGCAGCATCGCTGTTATGCTGGTTGTCTAAAGGAAATACTTTACTGCCGTCACACGTCTGTACAGTCAGCAGTACGACTTTGCTCTAGTACCTTGGGTTTGCTGCTTTTAGTCTTACTGTTATTCAACAGATCTGCCTGGCATGGTAGGACCTTAAGGAACGATTGTTCTATCCAGTATAGCCTGGTTAATTTATCACGATAGGCAAGCACGACTACCACGTCAAGGTAGCAGCGACAGTCAGACATGTTTAGTCTAATTGTGATTTTCTTACTATTTCTTAGTTATTTCTCAGAGCACCAACTTTAAAAGTTTTGAACGATTTATTTCAAAGTATTTGTTATAAGGAATAGAAGTTGAACAGAGGCCACAAAGTGCGATACTACTTCCACAGTAAAACATAACATTACGTTAGCGTCAGCCAGTAACACTGAATGAATCTCTTTATGTACGCTGTCGACATCCAGTCAGTTACAACGTAGAATCTGTATGCATGTATGTAGATCGGCTCAAGTTTACATATCCCACTAGCACAGAGATGAATTTTTCAGGCCAACTTTCAGAATAGAGGTAGTAACAGAATCAGTGATAATAGGAAAGATTAGGCATCGAAGATGAGGCTCAAAAAAATATAAGTTAGCGAAATAAAAGTACAATAGAAGTTTTGAGGAATTTAGAAGTTGCGTAAAGACAAAGAATGGATGTACCTACCCCACTGCAAACGATCTTGAGTCATGTTATTTAGAGTCTCGAACCATTGGTTAAGATAATCACGCGGATCCTAACCATTTAATCTGTACCTATTAGCACGTCTAAGTCCCATTGTCGGTGAATTTATAGACTGATGCTATGTTTTGGTTTGGCAGCCCCTCGCTTTCTTCCTGCCTACTCCTACACCAAAAACCATTTCCCGTCGAGGTAGGTGGTAATGAACGTACGAAATGCATGTCATAACCACCTCAGTTAATGTAGATTTACTACATCACCAACCGATTTTCCATCTTCAACCACCACTCCGTTCTTAACCCAGACTATGCTTACTCTGTGGTCCCAAAATTCACGAGCGATGCTTCGTAGACACCTATGATCAAATAAAAAAACCTGCGAATAACCTCTACTCTTCATAGCCATGTTTCACATCCATAAAGTAAAGTGGAATGAACTACTACGCAGTAAAATCGCCCTTTGATTGGAAGACGAGTATCTAGCCTACTCCACAAGTGACGCAATTCGGCAAAAGCCAATCGAGCCTTCTCAACCAGTGCCGTGATTTCGTCAGATACCAGACGAACAGCACTGATGAAACTCACAAGATAAGCTAAGCGGTCAATCGATTCAACTACTTCACTCCCGATCACTAAATCAGGTGATGACGCAAGCCAATTCTGAAGTGAAATTTTACATTTGGAGTTAGAGAACGCATGCCAAACATGCTTGCACCGTTGCTTAAGATGGTCAGAAGACTGTATTTTGCCAGCGTCTTCACTAAACAACTATATCATCTGAGTATTCCAAGTCGACAAGTGAATCTACTGGCAGATCAACTAAAAATTCAGACAATGAAAGTGTTATTTCAAAAGCATGTCTATGACAGATTCAAGTAGAAATGAAGAAGACAACCCTGATGAACACCACTTGAATTAACCGATTCCAATGACAGTTCGCCATAAGCTCGATCAGAAGTCTTCGAGTACAGAGCCCGTTCTAAGTTAATGTACTTTCAGTGACAGATACTGTCACAGAACCTTGTTATTAAAAGAGTCAAACATTGCTTTAAGGTCAAGAAATACAACCATAGTCGGATGTCGAAAAGTATGTGTCCCAGAATCTACCGAAGGGTTAATATTTGGTCCATACATCCACGTCAAGATCTGAAACTAGCCTAGTTTCCTCGAGTTTGTTCTACAAGAGCTCTATTTGAACATTAAAGCACTACTGGGGCCAATATTTTGGACACTATATTAGTTAAACTGATTTCTCAATTTATCACAAGAGGATTTTTGTCGTGTTTTATAAACTGGGACGATTAGTGATCGAGATCGATCTGATGGAACTACGTCCAGTTCCCAGACTTAAAATAAGATTTCAGTTAATATAACTGCCAAAACTAAACCACTACCCTTAATAATATTATGAGTTACCCCCATCAGACCCAGCTGCTCTCCATCGCTGTAGATTGCTTAAAGCCTTTTACAACTCACTAAGATTTGGAGGACCTACATCAGTTTGCCATTCAGGTTTCTTGGAGATAATGGGTGACCGCATTGTGGCTGAAGGCCAGTTGAACTATTTTCTAAAGTGTTCTGCCTATCCGTCCAATCTCCTGAATTGAGAGTGAACAATAGTCTAGTCTTTTTCCGAGATAGTTTCACCAACAGCTGTATTTTTAATACGTTTCCTTGATAAGTCTGAACAGTCCATCGACAAGTCAGTTGTGGAGGTCATCTAGTCAGACGACGTTTCTTGGTGTTTGTCATAAATAGACGGTTATTTACCTACTTGAGAATTAAAATCACCTGCCACTATCACTACATCAGAGCGTTTAGCTTTTTAAAGGATGTTGGATAGCTGGTCATTAAACTTCAACCAAGCTGAAATCAGTGGGAGCGTAGGTAGAGATAACGAAGAGGCAACAGCCAGGATCCCTGTGTCTCCGAGTCCTTGCTGCCCCGTTTAGTCGAACAGCGCTCAAGCGATTGTCTTTTGGAATCGACTATAACAGCCTGTTCTATTTTAGAACTTGATGCTATACCGACACCAGTGGGGCTGCGGGAAGTAGCAGTACGGACTACAGATACTGGAAGTGTAAATTGCACCGAGTTTTTATACTGATAAGGTGAGGTCGAATTAATGACTGTAGTCGGGTCCTGTATGTGTGTTTCGCAGACGCAGCACACATCGATGGGATGAGATTCGAGAGTCCTAGCCAAAGAAGCTTGTTGTCCTATCTGATATAGGTACGGACATTAAAAGCCATATGTTGTTTAGAGCGTAGTTTTAGGAGATAAGGAATAACATTTTGTGAACTTAAATCTTTAGCATTATTGGCGCGTGGTGACAGGGATAAATGAGAAGGGTTAATGGTGAGGGGTGGAAGAATTATTAATGGGCGAGAGAGGGATTCGATCGTCAACAAAATGATCTCAAGTGGTGATAGAGGTGCGATAGTTGTCAATTCGCGGCTGCCCACATTATGTAAGGATATTTTCATTGAGGGACCTGAAAAGGAAGCTGAATTACCATGGTAGTATTCAAGATAACTTCAAAGGAAAAAGCTTTGGAAAGACATAAATAACGAAATCTTTAAATTTAGTAACGTGTATTTACATAAACTATTTACAATCAAAAGATTGTGATGGCCTGTAGAATGGTCAGTCAGTCAGCATAAGCAATATAAAATCTGGAACATATGTTCATCGGTCTAAGTTTTCACAGTATATCAGTACAAGATATCAAGACGAATTCAATAGCAGTGTTATTATTAGCAGAGAAAGACTGGGCGGACAAAAACACAAAACGAAATCATGTTTAACCTTATCACTTCTTACTTAGTGGTTCTGATATATGCGAGTATCTTTTGCCATCTGTGGTTTACCAAGTAGAGTTTATAATGGGTTTCTCCAGTCAGTGATGGAAAATATCCACTCAACTAGTTACACAATAATTACACAACAGAACTCCAAATCCGGTTGACTATACTACATCCAGTGCCTTTTGTTAACTTCTTTCTAAGAAGTAGAAAGGAAGGTATAAAGTAATTTTATCCTCATGATTTAATGGAAGACAAGTGTATACACCTACTCCATTGTGATCGGTTCTGAGTCATGTCACTCAGAGTCTCCAACCGTTGGTTACGATAGTCACGAGGACCCAACCAAATAGTCTGCATCTACCAACATGGCTCAGACCAGAAGTTGATGACTTTACGGACTGATGCCACGTTTTGGTTTGGCCGCCCCTAATCCTCTTCCGTCAGTCTCCAACACTAATCATCATTGCGCACCGTGGTAGTCAGTAGTTGGGCATGCGTAATACGTGGCCCGACCATCTCAGTTGATGAAGATTAACAACCTCATCAACTGACTTTCCACCATTCCCTAGTACTCTGCGTCTAACCTCACCATTACTTACCCGATGATCCCAGCAGATGCGAGCAATATTCCTAAGATGTTTGTGATCAAATACTAGTGATTTACGACTACCCTCTACCCTTAATGACCACATTTCGCAGCCAAGGAGTAAAACAGAACTGCTACGCAGTTTACTTTTCCCTTAATTGACAAACGGATATCTTGTCCTCACCACAGGTGACGTAAGTTAGCAAAAGCCAAATGGGCCTTTTGAACCCATGCAGAGATTTCGTCAGACGTCAGCCTGCTAGGGCTGATCAGACATCCAAGATAAGTGTTTTCGACCACTTCTCTCTATCATTAGTTCAGGTGTCGATGCAGTCCTGAAACAAAAACTTGCGTTAAGACGGGGATAGACGCACATATCTACAGTAACAGTTATGTATAGTTACCACTACGGAAATATTTACCTGAAGATATACGCAAAGGCTGATTAACGTTGACGAATGTTCTTAAAACTTATTCAGTTTGAAACAATGTTTGACAAACGTCAATTTTCTAAATTAAAGTCTAATTTGCAGGACTTGTGTAAACGTTAACAGTACGGCCGTAAATTTAGGTTAGTTACTGAGAAATAAAACTTCAAAATGCATAAAACAGCTCATGACTATAACACATCTAGTTGTAAGTAACTCGGCATTTTTCTCGGTAGAAATCAAGACCTACTAAGGAAGTTAAACTAATGACCTGGAGGAAATAAAGAGCCGGTGACTCAAAAAGTACATTCAATGAATATACGTCTGATAGTGCAAAGAGTGATCTGTACTCAAGTAGGACTTGAGACCAACATGTCACAAAACTACTCAAGGTCTTTCTATTCATCCTATTCCCACCATTAGATTTACCGGTGGAAAAGTGGTCTTAGTGCCTATTTCTATCTAGAAATGCATCTAGGTTGTGAGACTTGTGGGACTGCTGTATTACATCGAGCAGAGTGATTGTGTTTATAATCATTTTGACATACTTATGTCACATAGATTGAGCTGGAAACTAACCACGTCAGATGACAACCAAATGACGAATCCTGTTGGTAACACAACAGCCCTGAAAGGTCCTCGTGATATGGGTCTCTCAACTATCTCGAACTTACAAAACAAATTGAGCGTGGAGAAAAGGCAGAGCGAGCCCACTTTGTACACTTACGTTTGATAATGGGATGAATACACGATTCTTAACACCTCACAAGTTGTCCTCCTACGATTTTTGAATCTCCTACCTCAGTCTACTTAGATGGCGGGAGTTGTGAGTTTTGCCGTTTTTTTCAAGCCATGATGGATAATGTGTCTCACTTACTATCAGTTATAACAAGTTTTTTGATGTCACTGTCGTTTTTCTGTTCATTGATTGTGCAACATTCTTCATGTTGATCCTGCTTTTTTAACAACAGAGCTAGTTACTTTAAGGTTTCCACAAAAGTAGTTACATACCTAGGAGTTTGCTAGATTTCTAGCAAAATTCTAATTCAGATGAATGTATTCAGTTTGGAGCCTTATCCGCGTCAAAAGTTTCTCATCGACTTTGTTGTCTCTCGTTTTTGCCTACTCGTTGTGTACTGAAGACCGGAGTTCGCTCACTGTCGTTGTAAGATATGTGAAAACTTTAAAGAATGATTGCACGATTCGATTTTTTGTCGTTGGTACATGGAAGACTCGCAACCAAAACAAGCTGGTTCTTCTCAAATGCAGCACACACCGAAAACGTATTAAAGAGCATCATGAAGTCCCGTAGCCTGATCTCCTTGATTTGTATTCTTCTGTAGCTGTAAATAATTCCCCAAAATCAATAGCTCATTAAGTGTTCGACATTGGATGCTGACCACGTTGTTTAAGTGGACTTGTTTAGCTGAAGGCTTTCGGTCATGCATCCGCACCAGATCACGTTTCAATACTGCGTGGGACACAGCTCCTACGTTTCATTAGCCAGCTCATAGAAAAGGTCCTCGATATATTGGTAACGAATCAAATATATCTTTCTTGCCTCTTCTCGTTTGACTTCTGATTTTCTATCTGACTGGTAACAACCGAATTTAGAAGGTGCTACTGGTATCTAGTTGTAAAACTAGAATATCCGTTGCATCATCATTGGTGAACCCGACGTGATCTGGTACACCAAGTCAATATACTGTGAGTCTGTTCCATTTTGGAATATTATTATTTATTGTTATTCTTTATTTGAATTTTATATATTGTGATATACCTTTTTTTTTCTCGGATATATTTTACTTAGACATTTTTCGATATCTATATTACTATGACGGAACACTCTCCTAAGGTTCTTAAGTTCAAGTCTATTCCCCCTATTTCGATTCAGTTAACGCCATTTTGGCCCGACAATATCGAGTCCTGGTTCTGCTATGCAGAAGCCGATTTTTGCATGCACGGAATCACGGACTCGCGCACACGTTTCCTCGCGGTAGTTAAGGCGTTACCGCGCGAGTTTAACAGGTACGTAACACCTAGTATGTTCACTAGTGATGTTTCCGAACCTTACGAATCGCTTAAGCTATCGATTTTAAAACGAGGAGACCTAACTGATCGACAACGGTTAGACCAACTCCTTAACAATATCGACTTGCAACATGGTTCTGCGACGGACATGTTGCTTAGAATGAGAGAAGTCATCGGCCAACGAACTTTCGATGATGGCCTATTTAGACAACTTTTCTTGTCTAAACTCCCTCAACAGGTGCAGGCAGTGCTTGTTTCATTTCAAAACAATGCCATAGATGAACTAGCTGCATCTGCCGATCGAATCTTGGAAATCACTAGATCTTCTAAGGCCGAGGTTTTTTCCGTCAAAGAAAAACCCCAATCGACCTCGACTGACATGGCCGAACTATGTCACACGCTCACACGATATCTTAGAGTTCGCAATGACCGTAGTCGGTCAAAAACCCCGCGTAGAAGTGCCTCACGTAAGCGATCTGGCTCTCGACCACGAGAGACAGACAATCCCGACTGGTGCTGGTATCATAACCAGTACGGTAAGTTTTCCAGAAACTGCAGGAAACCTTGCAATTATCCGACCCCAAAATCGAGTGACACGAAAAACAGTTCGGGAAACTTCCCAGCCGGCACGCGTTAACGGCAACCGTAGCCGGCGAACACAGCCGCCTCTTATATGTCACGGATGTGACTACGAAAGTTCGCTACCTCGTCGACACTAGCGCAGAAGTTAGCGTTCTTCCAGCAAATCTCGACGACAGACTTCGCGAGTCTGTTTTAAGTTTACAGGCGGCAAACGGAAAGCCGATCGCTACTTACGGTAAAAGGTACGTCTACCTTAACGTGGGTTTACGCAAACCCATACACTGGATTTTCGTGGTTGCAGATGTCTCTATGCCAATCATTGGTATAGACCTGTTACAACACCACAATCTACTCATCGACACACGCTCACGAAGGTTAATAGACGGAAACACTAAGTTGTCCGTTTGCGTAACTCCTTGTTCTGGTTGCAGGTTATCCCCAGTCACGATTAAGCACGCCATAGACCCCTTGTACCAAGCAGTACTCGACAAATACCCCGGGATATACCAATCGCAATCGAAATTACCTTGTGTAACCAGCAATGTTACACATCACATCTCGACTACAGGACCACCTGTATTTTCGAAAGCCCGAAGACTCGCTCCCGAAAAGCTTAGGTTGGCTAAAAACGAATTCAACCACATGATGGACCTAGGAATAATTCGACCATCGAATAGTCCATGGGCATCCCCATTGCACATGGTCCCTAAAAAGGACAGCAATGATTGGCGGCCAACTGGTGATTATCGGCGTCTGAATGCTAAAACCATTCCCGATCGTTACCCGCTGCCTCATATTCACGATTTGACAGCTACCTTGAAAGGTACAACTGTCTTTTCGAAAATCGACTTGGTTAAAGCTTATAACCAAATCCCGATGGCAACTGACGACATTTTTAAAACCGCCATCATCACTCCCTTCGGTCTTTACGAATTTCTACGAATGCCTTTTGGTTTAAGGAACGCGGCTCAAACCTTCCAAAGGTTTATAGACGACGTCTTCCGAGGTCTCAACTTCGTACATGCGTATGTTGATGACTGTCTAATAGCAAGTCCGGACAGAGAATCGCATCTCAAGCATCTGGACATTGTTTTCGATCGACTTCAAAGGCATGGCATTACTGTCAACATTCAGAAATGCCAAATCGGAACTAACTGCTTAGATTTCTTAGGACACACCATTGATGCCCAAGGCATCCGACCCCTTAGGAGCAAAGTGGCGGCCATTCTGGATTACCCAGAACCGACCACGATCAAGCAGTTGCGAACTTTTAACGGACTCGTAAGTTTCTATAGACGGTTCATACCTAAATGCGCATCCCTAATGAAACCGTTAACCGATCAGCTTCGTGGAAATGCGAAATCAATTAGTTTAGACGACATAGCCCGTAAAGCATTTTCCACAGTTAAGGAGCACATCGCTAAAGCAACGTTGCTTGCTCATCAGGACAGTCAAGCGCCCATTAGTATCGCCGTAGACGCATCCGACTCAGCAATCGGAGCAGTCTTACAACAATGGGTTAACAACTCGTGGCAACCTTTAGGATTTTTCTCGAGACGGTGGCTAGACGCTGAATCTAGGTACAGCACGTTCGGTAGGGAACTCCTAGCTATGTATTGTGCTGTACGGCATTTTCAACATTCCATCGAAGGAAGAGAATTCACGCTTTTTACCGATCACAAACCTCTTACCTTCTCTTTAAATTCATCTTCAGACAAGTACTCACCGCGAGAGTCTCGACAACTCGAATACATTTCGCAGTTTACTTCAGACATACAACATATTTCTGGAGCAAACAATGTAGTCGCAGACGCCTTGTCTCGAATTAGCTCCTTGAACAGTTTCCAAGGAATCGACCTTCTTAAACTCGCTCAGCTTCAAAAAGAAGACATTGATCTTCAGCATGAGTTATCCTCGACAACTCTTAAACTAAGTATTAGGCAGATGGGAACAGGTAAGGAAACCTTACTCTGTGACACATCTACAGGTAGGGATCGTCCAATTGTACCAAAACACTATCGCCGCAACGTCTTCAATACGTTGCACAATCTTTCTCATCCAGGTGCTCGTGCAACAATCGAACTTATAGCCGAACGCTTTTGTTGGCCTTGCATGAATAAAGACGTGAGGGAGTGGTCACGCTCCTGTGTAAGCTGTCAGAAATCTAAGGTAATCAGACACAACAAATGTCCCTTAGGTTCTTTCAAAACCCCTGACGCTCGATTCGACCACGTCCATCTAGATTTGGTAGGACCCTTACCCGACTCGAACGGATACTCATATCTCTTAACATGCGTAGACCGTTTTACTCGATGGCCAGAAGCAGTACCGATTAAGGACATTACTGCTGAAACAGTGGCTCGCACTTTCGTCGAACGATGGGTAGCAAATTTCGGCTGCCCTTCAACCATCACTACAGACCGCGGACGCCAGTTCGAATCTGGACTTTTCCGTTGTCTGACCACACTTTTAGGAATCACGCGCTTCCGAACGACCGCCTACCACCCACAAGCAAACGGGTTGGTAGAACGTTTTCATCGACAATTAAAAGCTTCATTATCAGCTTCAAACGTTTCACAGTGGACAGACGCTCTTCCACTCGTCTTGCTAGGTATCCGCAATGCAGTGAAAGCTGACATTGGATACACGGCATCTCAACTCGTTTACGGAACGACACTCCGACTCCCAGGAGAATTCGTGGATCCTTCAGCTTCTTCATTGAACATGGATCTAAACTCTTACACGAGTAGGCTTACAAACGCTATGCGTTCAGTTAAACCTGCTCACACTCGACCTCAATCAACTGATGTTTTCGTTCAACCCGAACTACGACATAGTACACACGTCTTCGTTCGTCGAGACTCACATCGACGACCCCTCGAATCAGCATACGAAGGACCCTTCAAAGTTCTTCAACGCGAACCTAAGTACTATGTAGTCGACAAGAACGGTACGAAAGATAGCATCAGTATCGATCGACTCAAAGCTGCGTACCTAGAAGGAAACCCTAGCTACGTCGATTTTCCTTCGGTGCAAGCAAACGACACAGCTACTACACTCGTAGTACCCTACACGACAACCGACACACAACTTGATACTTCGTCAACGTTGATAGAAAAACCTAAAACAACGCGTTCTGGAAGACGAGTAAGATTTCCAGAACATCTTAACGAATATTGCACGTAGGACATAAGCTTTATCTTGAATTACCCTTTCATTGTTTATTATAAAT